GAAGATAAGTTGTTGCATTGTTAGTTTGTATCCATTCATACATTTGTTATTCAATGAACAAGGTTATAATAATTGTGCTATGTTTAATCCCATGTTCTTTTCATCTTATCCACTTTTCAATCATGGAATAAACAAATATTAGAATTATTTTTATGGAAAATTAAGACGTGAATGGTATGTGGAAAATGTCACATACACACACATGCAAAATGAACAACCCGGGATTCCACATGACCACAACTACGGCAAGCCAAGACAAATACAAATATCCACCCAAACTATATTAGAAAATTGATAAAATTTTGTTTATCAGAAAGCCCAAAACTTATATTGGTGTAATAAACAATTTGCATATTTTTGGTTTTAAAAACAGGGAATTTAGATTCAATTGGATACTGTAAGTTTAGAATATATAAATACAGTTCATATCATACAGTTACTAACTTACCAATTTGGCATAGCCTTTGTTATCTAGGAGAATATTCTCAGGTTTAAGATCTCTGTAAACGATTCCTTTAGCATGAAGATAAGCTAATGCTTCTAAACAGCAAGCAGTGTAAAATCTGGTTGTGTTATCGTCAAAGGATCCTTTGTCTCGTAGAATTGTCCACAATTCACCTCCGAGACATACTTCAAGAAGCATATACAAAAACTTAGTGTTTTTGAAAGTCCTATAACATCTGCAATATAAATATATCCATGTTTTAATCTACTGGATACACATCACATCTCTAGTTTATGTGACTAAAAAATTAATGTCATCAGTGGTATCGCCACGGACAAAGACAGACAGATGCCACAGACAGATGCAGATTGTATTTTTATTTTTCTTAACCTTTTTACCAGCAGACTTTTTCTTCCAAATTTGTCTACACTTTTTTTCTTATATTCTTCAATATTTCTAGAAACGAACCCTAATTTTGGAGCCAACAAACCAAATTTGAGTCAATTTTCAGTTTTTATCAAAAAATTTGGCTTTTTTTTGTCACAATCTCCTGATGGAAAGTGCAGACTATAAACAGGACTATTTTGTGACTAATAAAAAGCAGGAACTGGTGGTGAAAAGGTTAAGGTGTGTTCAGGGTTACACTCAATTCACTGTAAAATCAAATGATTCTTATTACAGAATTTCATTGCATGGTTTAGACAGTAGTAATGTGATGTACACTTTGATTACTGAGGGCATTGCTTTGGGGTCATAGGTTAAAGCACACAACTGTTCGCGCTAGAGATTTACTGTTGGAAATGACATATAACATAGAGAGTTTATAGTGTGTCAGAGTTACCAACAATATTGTATTGTTTATTTTCAAGACCACTTTTAAAGTGAGTCCAAATAAGTGTGAGTCAACGTCAGTTTGCTGATGCACAGAGTCAAGGATTACAAGGCAAGGCACTTGCCAGACAGTTAATACCCAGTTAGGAAAATGGCCATGACCTTTGGAAATAATGAACATATGGCCATGATCTTTAGAAATAATGAACATATGGCCATGACCTTTGGAAAAAATGAACATATGGCCATGACCTTTGGAAATAATGAACATATGGCCATGACCTTTAGAAATAATGAACATATGGCCATGACCTTTGGAAATAATGAACATATGGCCATGACCTTCGGAAATAATGAACATATGGCCATGACCTTTGGAAATAATAAACATATGGCCATGACCTTTGGAAATAATGAACATATGGCCATGACCTTTGGAAATAATGAACATATGGCCATGACCTTTGGAAATAGTGAACATATGGCCATGACCTTTGGAAATAATGAACATATGGCCATGACCTTTGGAAATAATGAACATATGCACAAAAACAAAACACCAAAAGCAATTGATAAAGTTAAAAACTGAATTGAAAAATGTGAGAGATAGTACACATTTGTACTCAACTGCTTAGAGATCACAAATCATCCAACTCAGGGCAATTCATTAATGATAGAGGCAGTTTTCCCAGTATTAGTTTTACCTTACCAACAAGTCAGTGTTTTAACTATTATAAATAATCAGCCCAGTTTTTAAAAAAATGTCATGAATCATTTAAACCTCATTAAAATAATTTACTGATAATGATTTATTTTTTTGATTTATCTTTAAAACAATTCAATAATGTACAATTATTTAATTATTGCTAACTAAAATTATAGTGTTACAAACTTCAAATTAAATTACCAAAAACTGTTGCCCCAAAACAAGGTATTATAATTGTGTGGTTTCCATGGAAACTAATACTAACCTAACTATGAATTCACATCTTGCCTCTGACATAATCCTTTTTTCTGACATTATATGTTCCTGTTGCCGGGTTTCTACAATGTGCTTCTTCTTTAGTTGCTTAAGTGCGAAAGTTCTTGATGTATCATTACCAATATTAACCTGTGGTAAAAAAAAAATATTGGAAAGTTAATTTGGGCGCAAAAGAAAAATAATTTTACATTTTCTGGTATATATTTATTTGTCAAAAAAAGAAAAGCAACCTCTCAGCTGAGATAGCTCCGCTGTTAGCAATGCATATTACAATTGAAGAACTGAAGATATCATTAGAAAATTAACAATATGTATAGTATCAAAGCAATCAGACTTGCTGTTTTATACAAGGAGTCGAAAATATCACTTTTTACCAAAATTGACTAAAATATTCATCAAAATTAAGGAATTAACAATATCATTAGAAAATGAACAAATCTGAGAGAGGTCCACCTATACCTCCTATATGTATAGTATCAAAGCAATTGAACTAGCTGTTTTATACAAGGTGTCGAAAATATCACTTTTTACCAAAATTGACCAAAATATTCATCAAAATTATCACAAAATGAGCAAATCTACGAGAGGTCTGCCCAAGGTACAAAAACATAGTTGAACTCTGGTAACCTTGCCCTTACATTCAGTAGTTTGTCAAAACCTTGTATGGAATATACTCTGTGAGAGAAACCGTCTCAGGAGGGAGGGAATACAGTTTGAGTTTCTTCTTAATTGAGATAACCCTTAAAATCTTTTTGTTGAGTTGTGTCATGTGAGTTGTGTCATGTGAGTTGTGTCATGTGAGTGGAATGAGTTATTAACTTACTAGTTCTACTCGACCAAAGCCACCAACTCCCAGAGTTGCCACGTTTTTAAGATCATCAATTTTAAGATCTGCAAACTCCGACTCAATTCTATCAGAGAGATATAAACAAAGAAATGTAATACAATGCAGTAAAATATGACACAACTATTCGTTAACATTCTAATTCCATTCATTATCATAACAAACCAATCAAGTGTTAAATGAATACTGCCCTCTTATGGTGACATATTCAATGATCTTTGTTTTTATAGCACTTTATGTCCAATGACTTTGAAAGGTGTGGCAATTCTTCCATATATTTGAAGTGTTTATGGATACCATAGATCAGCTTTCTGATTCCCTGTGCAACACACTTTTCATATCTCATCTATAATTTCAGATTAAATGGCTGTGTGAATTAGTTCTCCAATTACACAGAGTACAGTAAGCCGCTGTAATTTCATTGAAAAATAATGCAATTTTTGTAGCAGTGAAAATTCATAGCATCTTCACAAATACCATTAAATCATTAGACTGCGAACATTCTTAGCAGCAAAAATCAAATTATTGAATATACTTACACAATACTGGAACCATCTTGATCTGGTTTTGGACCAGGTTTGGCATCAGTGCCGGCAATTTGAGCAAAGGATCTACAAATAAAAATTTTAATTTAAATTTCAACTACAATGAATAACTTATGTCTTAATTTTTCATTATTTGGATTATAAATACTTGGAATTCATTTTTCGCTATTTTCGCTGAGGAATGATTCAGAAAAAATAAAATCCAGTAAATATACTTTTTTTTTTCTATATTTTACATTCAAATCATCAAAAAGCAGTAAAAATAAATTCCAGACAAAACACCAAACAATCTTTTCAGCAAAAATTAATTCCAGCTAAATGAGTATTTTTA